ATCAAAATAATACTCTATATAATACAGTTCTGTTTCAAAGAAAAAGAAAACATAAGTGGCATTTTATTTTACGTTGTATTCAGCCAGTTGGCACAAACATTTATCAGCAGGATATCCGAACTAATGGTCGGAAGAATTCGTGGAACAAAAACGTAGTATAGGAAATAGGTCACTTTTTATCATTTATTATATCCTTATATAATTTAATAGAGCCAGACACACACATTTATCCTTCATAATGAATTAAGTTATTTAACTTTTTTTTATTATTTTTTGACTAATATAAGAATCTTCTGTTTTTGAATTCAATAAAATTGTTAATGATCATATTATTAGTGAAAACCAATTATTTCTAGTCTGGAAGTCAATTTTCCTTAATTACAAACATCAAATCATTCGAGGGTTGGTGATTTCAAACTTATAATCGTAAAATTGTAAGTCCAGGATTCCTCACGACGTTTTCCTTCACCGTCTGTCAGTGGTGTCTAAATACTCTTAGAAAGTACATATGACTCGGAAATATCACATTGGTACTTGCCAGGATCGAATCGGCGCCCTCATGCACGAGAGCCGGGCCCTTTAACCACTAGGCCACCACTGACTTATGCAATTTTTTAAACCGGTATTATAAATACGTTTCGACATAAATTTAATTTGATTCTGTATTTCCTCTTAATTGATATTGATATTCTTTCATATTCACAAACATGTCGCTAGTCTTATAATTTGTATATTTTTTTTTCTAAAATAACTTCATATATATTATAAATATATTCTATAACGTATAAATTTTCAACTACTACTTTTGCGGGATTTACAAAAATGTATAGTTACTAGGAATTCAAATAGCAATCGGTTTTAATCAAAAGTCATCAAGTTTTCGAATACAAAATTCAATGAATTATGTCACGCGAACATTTTAAGTGATACATTGAAAAGTAATTTTTAAAGTGTATTAACATTAGATTGTACATACTTTTAATTAACGTTAAAACAGTTGAAATATAAGAAAAAATATTTATAGTATAGAGAATTGTAGCATATTATTTATTATTATATTATCTTATTACAATTGCCATTAAAGCATGCTTATTTATTTATTTAAAAAAAACTTTATTGTCTAACTACACACGTAGATACAAAAGGTGGTCTTTATGCCTGAAGGCATTTTTTGCCAGTCAACCCTTAATCAAAGAAGAAAAACGTGAAGACGGTAGCAGTACGTAAAAGTAAAAATATACATATAAATATGACCTTAAATTCTGTTCTGTTCTTTAAAATGAAAGGGTAAATTTTCGACATTCATGTATTTTTTAATCTGATGTGTTATCATTTCAATAATATCAGTAATTATAGTCCTTTAAACTTAAGCTGAGCTTTGCATTTGTGTGAGTGAAAGTAAAAATAGAGTTAGACAAAAAACTTGGAATTAAATTTTATTACATTTTAAGTAGATACATATGTACATAACATAAGTGCTAGAGCTATTTTAGATTTAAAATAAAAAAGGCAAACTTGTTAAAAAATATTATGTTTTTTTTAAATAAAATAATAAAAAAAAAACTATACAAATTCTTCTTCACCTGACATTGCATTTTCAATATTTGACGTTGCTACCAGTACAAAAGGTGAAGAGCGGAAGGTATGGGCCGGAGTAAAAGTAGTATAAACCGGTTCAAGCCTAGAAAAGAACATAGCATTCAAATTTTGACATCACACCTACACTATGCTTGTGCCTTCACACAAATGCAAAGCTCAGCTTAAGTCAAACGCACTATACCTGATTCATTAAATGTGATTTACAACGATTTTATATTATCACTATTTGTTACCTTTTTATACGGGATTTTTATTTTAAATTGACAGACATAAGTAAATGCACAAAGATTATAGCGTCTTTATTTAGTCTCCTTAAATTGAGAGTTAATTTTTAGAACTCTTAATATGGTTGCAAAGATTGTGTATAAAGTGTTCTCAATTATTTAAAAATAAATCATTTAGACAAAGATTGAATATGAAATAAGAATAGTATGATATGATACACGAAATAGGGTTTCAAAGAAATTAATGTAATAAATATATCTAGGGTATTTTCTTTCAATTCCTCCCAAGATTATACAAACACAATGTTTTATCCCCTTCTTATTCTCGTTGAATAAGGTAAGTTTGTATAGGTACACATATATTCACCTAACTTCTACAGAATTATTCTTAAGTTCATCACATCACAGACGTTTGTAAATATATCTCTTTGCCTAGTAAAATATCACATTACGAATGTTTTTCGGACAATAATATCTAAAAAACTAATTCTAGACTAACTTCTACTTACAATTTATTTTGTTTTTTTTTCTTTTCTATGTAGTTTGAAGCATAAATGTGTACAAGTATAATAGTGTATAACCTATAACTATTAGTTTATCATATTTTTTACAAACTAATGATCACCTAAATGTTATTGGATAAACGACAATAATAATGCGTGTATTTAAATATTGTTTTTTTTTACGATTACTTTCGTATCTTATTTTTTTAATGTATTTAGTTTATTATTAAGACATCAAAAACAATTAACTGCTATATACTCATAAATGAGATGATATTGTAGTAGATTATCCGAATGACTATTTTATGAACACCCCTAAAACTAGGATTGGACTAGTGGAAATTATTTCCAGATCGTTGCCTATAAATCTTTAGGTCAGCGTTCCCCTAATAATGATTATTAAATTTTTGCTGACATTTCTGGTTCAAGGCTTTAGGTAATGACACTAAATGAGGTTTATTATTTCTGTTTTCGGACATTTTATAATACTTTCGAAATTTTCGATAATGTAGTTGAAGTCACGCGATGTTAGTTCATTAAGTATATAGTCAGCTGTATGAAAGATAGGCTTTCTCTTATATATTATTGTTTAAATAGTTTTAGGTGTTGTATATTATGAAAAGATTAGGTAGGTTTTTATTCATATGTATTAGACTACAGAAGCTACATATAATGGATATTCTAGCTGAAACAGCTTAACGTTTTCTTTTTCAGTAAGCAGATGCCGAAAGGTCATATTAAATTACCTTTCCCGGTTTTGTACAATCATGATTTCGTCTTTAAGCATAAAATAGTTTAATCATAGTATTATCTAAATGTCAGTATGAGGATTTTGTCGGTTCGTTGTCTATATAAAAACTATTTATTATTTAATAAACAAGTATAATTCATAAAATAATACCGATTTTAAAATAAATAAACACACATAGGTTCTGTAACGAGTACCTTTTTTTCTTTTACACATATTAATAAATATTAGCGATGCTTTCACCTGACCATAATTAAATATAACTATTTTTTACTATTTATTGTTTAAAACTATGGAATTTTCTAGAAACCTTTCCACTTTTTATAGCCTTTAATTATAAATGACGGATAATACGTTTGACATACAAATAGAGTATCATTTATATTTACCAAAATCCAATTACTTCCAACAATCATTTCCTTAATGATATTTAACCGTTACTATGTACATATGATTAAAATTATCCAACTATATAACTGTATCAGACGTTGTAATCATTTCGCCTTTATCCTTTATGTCATATCACCCATATCAGTTCAATAAAAGCTGTCCACACTACACCCTCAGACTTGTTAAACCATTACTGTGGGTACCAACCAGTAGGTATTATTCATAGTACACCACGGAATAATTAAGTAGCAATTAAACTTACTCCATTAAAGCACATATCATATAAGTACATATAATATGCATGAATCGCATACAAGAGAAGCCTTTTAATTCTGTGAAAGAAAAATAATATTAGACAAATTGATGGTCGATATAGAATATTAGAGTAAAAATTTTGAAGTGTGAAAAATGACACTAGTTAATTAAAAAAAAAAAGAAATAAAAAATATATATGTAACATTGTTGTTTACATTTTTAGCATAATCATTTATTTTTATCATCATCAAATACTTGTCAGTGGTATTGATTTGGCATATAAAAACAATGAAAGCAAATTAACAAAAATACTCTGTGCATGTACATCTTATATCAGCTTATTTATGTAGTTTCGTCCTTTAAACTAGAGACTGACCCTCTGTTTTCTGTATCTTCAGCCACAGTTTAGAATTGCAATTATGAATAAAACTAAGCAAAATATATTAAAACGAGTTATGTATTGTTTTTGTGTGATTAATTTTTATTTTTCCTTAAGAGATCAGCATGTGACTCATTTTAACTGATTAGCTGTGGTGTTCATCCAAAAATTTGCTTACCATTCATATATTAATATATTCATATATTAGAATATGTTGCTATTCCATTGTCAGTCCTAATACTGATGCAACATATTGGTTACAAACTTTTTTCAATTAGATTGTGCCAGGAGGAGGAACATCGCCAAAACAAAATTAAAACATAAAAAATATTGAGTTTTTATCTAAAACTTTGACTGAAAAGCAATTTAAAGGAAAGGAAAAATAAACAAGGCTTGGCACGTTAAATTTCAAAATCTTATTTATTTTTATAACCATGACAGATAATTTTTTTAATACTTAAATGCGAATATATTTCACAATTATTTACAATAACCATTATTGTACTCATTCGGTATACTTCATTTTAATACAACTAAAGTATTTTTAATTATATGTAAAATATTACAAGATGTTTTCCAAGGCTTATTTATTAAGATAAAAAATATTTTCTATACACATTTAATATTATAAACACACGTCAAACTAAAAAATATACAACTCTTCAAAGACAGTTCCGACTGAAAAATATTTGGAATTTATGACACTTATTTATTATATGCATGAAAATTATTTATTTAAGAAATTGTTATTATATACAATATAACAACGTGTCTTTGTACCAGTAGACTGCAGCAAAGCATTGTATTTATCAATTTAACTTTATTAATTAGATATGCCATAAATTTTCACAGGACATTGAATAAGCCGGAAAACATCAAAGTGTAATAGAATTAATATAATGTTATCCATAACCTCGCAAAATGTGTTGAATTATATATAATAATGTCATAGCAAATAATAATTGTGAAAGTTGTATTTTAACTGAAGAATTATTTCCGTGCTGCATTGCGGCTGGCGTTTCGCCTGAAACAAATATTTCACATTTTACATTAAATATATTGAGTCGTATTTTTTTTCATGGTGTGGAAAGTATATTATTATAGTGTAATGTATTTCCTGAATACAACATTTATTTTCTCACTCCAAAACTATTTATTTATTATAATAATCCTCATCAGAGATTAATCATTTCCTTTTTTCCCAGTAAACATTAATATTTTATGGTGATTTTATTTTTATATATTAAAAATATTGTGTCAAATAAAATATGATATTTAAATAATAAAATTCGCTAAAGTCGACCTAATATTGTAATATCTATTAAGGACAGCTTAAAAATACCTTTCCTATATTGTCTGATAAATAATAATCTCAGAATTTATTCAAAAGGAAACCAAGAAGTTGCTAGAAATTCTTTTTGTAAAATTTTATAAACTAACTGCCCGTTTCAAATGCTCAAAGCAATCTTGAATGCGGGGACAACAAAAGCTTCTTTAAGACTTAACTTTAATAAGTGTTATGATATAAAATATTATAACTGTTCTTACAAGAACTACGCAAAATACTATTGACTATAATATAAAATTGAAGATATTATAAAGTTAGTTGTTGTTTTAATAATAATAATAACCTTTATTATTTAAAACAAATATAACAAAGAATTCAATTACTCTTGAAAAACTGATGAATGATATAAAAAGTTTGTTGAAAATGAAATACACAAACATTTCTCAATTTCATTGTACCTGAAACATTTGTTGATAAAATTTCATAAAAGTATGTGCTCGTAAAATGGGTCATTATTTTAAAAGTACTATTTTGAGACAAACAAAACATAATCTACAAAATAAATTATCTCAATTGCCTAAGTGTAAAATAGTGTAGGAGTTTCACACTTTCATATAAATGTAACAACTTAGTGAATTGCTTTGCATATCGTATATTTTAATCTTATCAATACTCACTTTGTACGACGTGTACAGTAACTGAGGCGGCTCGGGCATTAGCCGGAACACACGTGTAGTTGCCTGCATGCCGAGGTTCCGCTTTCCCGATAATCAGCTCACTGGTTTGCCGACCGTTGTGGACACTCACCCCATCTAGGTATTATTGGATTAGTCTTACATACTTACTTACTACTTGCTCTAAATGTACATAAATATCATGTATGACTTCATTGTACCCGTATTCTTTATATTAAATCTTAATGTTCTTAATTTAAATATAAAGTTGTCTTTAGATTTATTTGTGATCATTTTATAAATAATATTTTCTATGTTAAGAGTTTCATACTGTTAGAAAGCTTTATTTATTTTCAGTTATACGAGTATATTTTAAAATATTACCACAACCCGCTTACTCCCCAAGATTTTTTTTATATAACTATTCACTCTTTGTTTTATCTCAGTACCCAATAAATATGTATATAATTAGAGGTACATACATGACAAATAGTGCAGCAAGACTTTCGATAATAATTTATGTATTAGAATTTATAGATTGTAAATTAAATTCGTTATCGGAAATAATATTAAATTAAGACATCTCAATCTTAAAAAGCAAAGCAAAGCTGTGGCTAGATAAAGATTTTATTTTCTCTACTTGCTAGTTGTCAGTGATAAAAAGGAATAGATTTAACAATCTAAGCATTCTCAGTACGTAAGAGCAATTAGTAAGTTATTTGAGTCAGGAGATATTTCAGTATTTCTCAGAGCACTTTAATTTGTATCTTCTAATTGTTTCCTTGTCTCTTAGGCACCGATTTTTAGCTATATTGAGAATCTCAAATGGTCTTTAAGGTACCTTAAATGGATCTTTAAATAGCTTATAAATTTAATTCGATTTAAAGGCTTACATAGGTTATCCTTGAGTAAGATTTTAATCTCCTATTTCATAATTAGATATGAAGATATTATAATGAATTACCTCTATGTCTATTTAAATTATACCAATACATATAACATATTTCCATTTAAATTAAACCCAAACATTAGTTCGTACCAAAACGTATTTTCACAAATAATTATAAGTACTTTCATATAAAATTTTGACATTGGAAATTTTTAATAAAAACAAAATATGAAAAAATATTTTAATAAAAAAAAAATATAACAAAATATGAAAAACAGAAATCAAGACGAAAGAACTTCGTAGATAACGATTTAATAACCTTAATTTTGATTATACTTATACATATTTATATTTTTAATAAATAGAACAACGCTTTCATAAAAATAACTTCATAGTATTTGCTTTGATACGTAGTCCTAGAAATATTCTGATTCATATGCATAGCATACACAAAATTGCAATACTCGACGGATAATAGAAGACGCGACTTGCATACATTCATCACCCCGTTGGCTCAGTCAAAGCCATTAAGGCTAAGTCGCTCAAGTCGGAAAAAAATACATTACGCTATTCTGCAATGTCGCCGAGCGTCTAGAACGGAATGTGCAAGCTCAGTGTGTATTCAGACTTCCAATGCTTCGATGTAATTTTCAATATCATTCATATAATGCTTCTATATAGTTCAAGTAATATACATACTTCTTGCAGTATATTTAGGCTAATAATTATGATAGAAATATTCATAATCATAGATATGATATCATACAATCATATATGATATAAATAATAATAGTAGTAAACTGTTAAATTTATGAATATTTACATCTTTAAGTTATTTTGAAGTATCAAACTATTTAATCACACAATAAATTGAATGTATTAATATAATGACCTTTCAGTTTTAAACTAAAGTATAAATAAATTTAAACCAATAAAAGTATGATAGTCTGAAACTTATAACTTTTATATTAATACAGACGCTTTGGTATATTGAATCTTTGATTTCTATAACACTGATTGAAGGCGATAGAATCGATCGTAACAGCGCAGTCAAAGTTGTAACAAGAATAACTGAGACGGTTGAAATCCATAGTTTAGCGCACTTTGTTATTTAGAACTTTATATCGACATAACGTTAATAGTAATTGATGCCTTTAATTTTATTAGTTTGAGTAAAATTTGGTGTAACTGAATTACTTAAGACATATTTTATAGGTATAGAAGAAAAAAAATTTTTATATATTATAAGTTTTTTTAATTTATGTCACGTAGATGATGTGACATGATGTGATCTGGATATTTGTTTTGAAAACTAGGTCTAGTCACAGAGTTCATACATCGAATGTCACAGGTGGGAAAAGAGCTCATCTACTATTAATGAGAACACAGTTACTTCGGCTCGTTCACTTTTTTATATACCCGTATCTTTTAGGAACCAGCCGAAATTATCAGATAAGGTTTGAGTTTACGGGTTTTAACCTTTTTGGATTTTGCATTGCTTTATTATAAATCTTACCTTATTTCGCGTATAGACTTTTTTAATTTCAGTTTTCGTTTATTAAGTTATAATACCCTTACAAATCTTATCATTAATTCTTTAATGGACATTATTACGTTAATTTTTATAAGCATTTTAGACTAAATCAAAAAAGAGAAAACCTCAAAACGCTTTTATAGACGTACCACTTCTGTTGAAATTTATATAAGGAATATTTGCCTTTATCTTTTCTAAAGTAATTCAACCAAACTGAATTTTACATAATATTGATTTTAATGTCTGGAGAGAAAACTAAGTAACGGCTGGTGACTTTATAACTTGTTCAGATATTTTATATTCCATAAACAATGTTCTGTTATCTTTAAAGCTCATTTCATTATAATTCCCAAACGTTGCTTCTGTTTTTAATTTTCAATTATTATGTCAAACATAAAAAGTTTACGTCAGCAAGATAAATCTCCACATCTACAGTACAATAGATGCTGAATGAGTAACACAATGGTATTGGATATTTTAAGTTTACGTACGAATTTTTATATTTAAAGTCAAAACAAAATCTTCTATATCTTCAAATATTTCAAGATTATACTTTCATTTCTACTTTATAATTAATTAAACAAACTGTACTATGTATTTAAAAGTCGTATTCAAAATCTCGTTCCGATAATTATAAAGTTGCTTAAATTAATTATAGAATAAGTGCTTTATAGATCCTTAAATTAAGTCTGCTTCACGTATTTTACACATTTATAAACCACTTTAATTGATACGTTGATATATACTTACTTAGGTCATAATTTATCATCCGGTTTTCGAAATACCAAAAGACGTACGACGGTGGTTCTGTAGATCTCTTGACTACACAGACCAGTTTCAACATAGAGCCTTCGTGGATGATTTTTTCCGACTCACCCACAATTTCCGCATAGGCAGCTGGGAGATAAATTACAAAAGATCTCAAAGAGGACAACAAGAGCCTAATATTTCTATATGAATATATAAAAATAGAACTAATATTTTAAAACAATTATTCTGTACAAAATACTTTTATAGTACCTTGGTCATTAGGACAATAAAAAATAACTTACCTACAAGTACGAGTTTAAAAAATATGCTTGTAGGCGGATGCCTCGGCACCTGGCACTCGTAGTATCCGGCATCAGCGGACGTAGCGAAACGTATATGCAACGCCCAGTCCTTGAAACAAACCTATTGTTAATAATACATATTTGTATATGCGGTTTTCATCGAAAAAAAATTAATTGTGTTTGAGGACTAAATGTAAAAAAAAAACGTAATTTTTTGTTCTAAATTGTCTTCTTCTACCTGGCAATTTCCCAGCTATAGCCAGGGTCTGCCTTACATGTTGTGAATAGTTTTGGCTATTTGTTTTTACGACCGGCCGCCTGCCTGACATCAACCCTCTTTTGGGAATCAGCATTAATCAGTGATGTCTAAATACACTTAGAAAGTACATATGATTCGGAAAAATCACAGTGGTACTTGCCCGGGCCAGGATTGAACCCGCGGCCTCGTGCATGAGAGGCGGGCCTCTTAACCACTAGGCCACCACTGACTTTCAAAATTTTTTGTTCTAAATTGTATCGTACCAAAAATAATAATAAATCAAATATGTAACCCTTTATCATTTATTCATTAAAACTGTTAGTGTATAAATTTTCAATTCCTATTAAACTTCATCATTAAATATTAACAAAATATAAATTGTATCCATTCTATATAAAATTCGATATAAAAGCTATAGTAATCATGGAACAATTTTTGTTTTTATTATTGTACGTAGTGTTTTATTTTTGAAACCTAAAATATAATTTCAACGATAGGAATGAAAAAGAACTGGGATGATCAATATCTCTTGCACGAAACTTTTAATAGATTTGCAAACTTAAATCCCAGATCTTGTGACAACAATACAACATCAACAATAAAATTTATAACGAGAAATCTGGAGAGAATAGAAAATAAGAAGTCTATATTTTTTATAAGGTAAAAATAATTTATTCATTTTGATTTAATATTTTATTAAATTAATGAAGAGAAATAGAGCGACTGAGATTTTTATTCATTATTTTTTATTTCTCCGGCTTTGAAATTCTGGAATATGAAATTACTAGCATTACTTCAGGATCACAAACAAATGTCCAGAGTGCTTTGAGTGGCTTTGAATAAAGTTTTGAAGTAAAATATTAATCTCGTATAAATGTTCCTACTAAAAAATCAAAGCGTACGACGTCATGACAAGTCGAATTTAAGTAGGAGGACTTTGTGGGCCTAAATTCTTAAAAAAGAATTGCTATACGTCTTTGTACTTATGAAAACAATACACTATTCGTGGAAACTATAGTAACTTGAATTGATTACTATTATTACTGAGGTCGAAATCTTTACAATTACATAATATGTATAGTGTGATAAATTGATGAAGCTTATATGACAGAAAGTTAATGATTTAGCCGTCTTGTGAATTAATCAATATTAGCTTTACGTATCTGGGTCACTTTGTAAATCGATATTTCGGAAAACTCTTATACGATGCATAATTAATCTGACATGAAATGAACAATTGTTGGTCAATTGCTAGAAAATTTAATATGCATATATAAATGGTCAATTTCATGGATTATAAATAACTGTCAGTGGAAAAAAATTCTGACATAATGAATAAGAATTTCTTTTTTATTATAAACAACAATATTAAGCATTAGCACGTTAATTTTTTCATATACATGTATTGATAATTATAATTGTTCAAATGGTTTTTTAATTTATTTTTTTTGGAGTCAGTAATTAAATAATATAAAACTGTTTCTTTTGTTTAATATCATTCACCTATTTGGACATCACTTTAAATACCTTCGTTTATTTTATAAGTAAAAATAGAAAATACAACTGTGTTTATAAATACAAATTAGTCGATAATAGTTCATAGACTATAAGTTATTAAAGAAACTTCAAAAAAGTTAGTTTAAACAATTAACATAATTTATATACAGAACTTTATTTATTTACAATAACTAAGTTAAACCGTCACTGAGTAACAAAATCCTGTACAAAACTATAAAATAAAACGATGGCAATAAACAAACCCTAACTGACAGAACATGATCCAATAAATTACGGTGGCTTTACCTTAACGTGTCTCCCATGGGCGGAAAAGAACCTACTATCCGCGCTGTAAGTGACAAGACCAACTGACATTAGTGAGTAATCCTTACGTCTTATCCATGTTACCTGAAACAAGAGATACGTTGAACAAGAGCATTTCATATACCTCTGAGTGATTGAAACACGACAAGAAACTCAAGCGTTAGGATTACTATCTATTATTTAACCACGTAACTTATTAATCATTTATTTTTCCACCTTCACTATTGTTATAATTGTATTGTCCTATGATTGATGTATGTATATATCTTTGTAATGATTATATTTATTAAGGGATGATACAAATTATGTAGCATGTACATTGAATGGTCTATACATCAAGAGTATTTATGGCTTTGCCTAAAATTCATGTCTCTTTGTTGGAACAGAGGATTCAACCAACGGATTTCCATTAGATGAATCTAAAACGATAGCTTGGATTTAGGTTTATGTGACTAATAGTGAGCTTAGGGCTTGTTGTTTTCAAGGATTCGAGCAATAATCTCTAACCCCTATTTAATCAATATGTTGACGTTGTGAGAAACAATTACATATGTATGTAGTTATTTATAAATTATCTCTATTTTATTTTGTTTGTATTACTACAAAGTAATAGTTTCGTGAAGGATAAAATAACTGATTTCTTACAAAGTGTTTTTCCTTTCCTTTTGGGCAATACTTTATATATTAAATCTTATTACATACAGATCTGACTAAAATATTCAACAGTTTCTATGTAAGTTTTACAGACAGTATTAAAAGTATATTATTTACGACTTACTGAGATAAGATTGGTTTGTTAGTAGAAAAGACGAATGCTAAGTTTTTCTTTCGTAGCAAAATAATAAATAAAAACATTTAAAACTATGAATAGTCAACAAGTAATAATAAAAGTTTAGCAAAATAAGAATGATAAACAGAGACGTCAACTGAATTAATGGGAGCTGTTAATTTTCTTATCTGATAAAATTTAACATGGATAACTTAGTTACCAAGTTACAACACGTTTTAATAAGTTCATAATTAAGATGTTAATAAAGTTACGTTAATACAAGCCCCAAAAAGTAATTTAAGTTTAGATTTCGTAAATAAATCATAAAATTTTTCTGTTGATGAACTTATTACGCGTCTTATAATAATATAAATGAACTTCCTAACAAAATAATAGTGGATTGAGTTACTCATATAATTTATTGGTATATCTTTATTAGTTTCAAATGAAAGTAACTAGACTTCAATACTTACAGTATTTTCAGTTATGTCACTGACTTCACAGTGTAATACTGCTGTGGTTCCTATTTGAGCTATGACAGTTGTACAATTCTCAGTCAAAAATATGCCGTTTTTAATATTTTTACCACCTAATTTATTAACTGCTGATGCAGTCGAATCTCTGTACATTTTCTTAACTTTATTTAATGATTTTGATAGTGATTCTTCCTCTAGTTCAGATATGATTTCTTTTTGAAATCGATCATGATGTTTAGTATGATGTCTTTCCCGAACTTTTTCAAAGTTTTCTCTATTCTCTATTAAATCTATATTATTTACATTATCCTCATCTAAATTAGATAATAAGTGGAGCGGTTTGGGTAAGTTTGGATATATAGCTGTGCTTATGTTGTAGGCACTAGTGTAAGATTCCGTCGAATCTTCGTCATTTTCAATGGTAGTGTATATTATAGTCGTTTGAGTTGAAGAGGTTGTCGTTGTTCTTCTCCTATGGCCTGTGAATAAAAAGGATAAATAAAAACTTTGGTTGCATTTTAATAAATTTTAAATCTTTATATAATACATCGAAAGCATTTTTACAACATGTTTAAATTTTAATTAATGCCGAGTTATAATGTAAACGACTGCATTCGGTTTGAGGTCCTGTTTCAATTTATTCATTAATTTGCTTTCGTGGTATTACTTTTTAATTAATAACATAAATCGTTAAATAAATTTTCAACCAATGAGATTTAATATATTTAAATAAAAAAAGTTTTTTTTTTCATTTTTTACCTTTCTTATGATGCCTTGTAAAATTACCGAACACGCTACCCAACCTTTGTTGATTTCTGGTTGTACATAGTTCTAATGATTTAAGGTCATCCATATTTTGTGTCACAGATATTGGAGATCTTTTCGACTCCATGGCATCTGTGTTCACCAACAATTCAGCTTCAAGCAATAGAACAACAGTTGCGTAGAGTAGTTTAAGTTCTTTACAGCACAACATTGTTTGGTACTGAATACAGTGAATGTCACATTTGGTAAATTTTGTCACATTTCTTTACACTTAAATTGATAGTCATTATTACTTGCTATTTTGGTTGTGTGCGAAACGACGTTTTGTTTCTGAATGACTGGTACATTCTGTAAAATAAGAAAAAAATATATTAATATGAGTCACTTAAATATAACTTAATTTAGACTCAATTTAATTTCAATACGGAGTAATAATAAAACAAAAGTATTTTTCCTTAAGTACAAAATTATCCAAGAACATAATATCTGAGCACTTTGTACTCTTATATTAAAAATAAGCCTACTTAAGATTTATCAGTTTAGATCTTTTCCAAAATTAGATATGATTTTGAAATTTTGTTCACACAAAGTTTTTGTGAAAAGACAGCCATTCAAATTTTTTGAATTTTGTGTGGCAAAACACAATTTTTACGACGAGACCAGACTCAAAAAATGGTGTCATGTATTTAAAAAGTCACATATTTGTTTATCAGGGAATCTGTCTTAATCCTAATTTTTTATAAAAAACATGGACGTAAGAACAAATCATAATATAGTAAAAACGTACGTTAAGCTTCTCTAAAATTTAGAACATTTTGTGCAAATTACGGTAAAAATAAATTAAGGTAAAAAATGAAGTAGCTTCAATCTGTTGCCAGTAAAGTTTAATTGAAGAGATGAGAATAGATTGATCAAAAACTTCGACAGGCACTTAAAATTTATTTGAAATACATATTAGAGTATAGAATGCCGAATTGTTATTTATAATAGCAACATTCATTGAAATGGATTGTTTTATACTCTTATTTTAAATGAAGCAGTATTTCATAATTTAAACACGTGCATTATCAGATTAACTGCTAATTAAAATTAATGGCTTCCATTTATAGGTGATTGCATAATATACTTTAACGTCCTCATGTGCCATGTGTTTTTAACCTTCTCGTGTGTACATTTGTGTGAATATTATTTCTATGTTTTATTGATATTTAAAAAAAACAATAATTGTCTTTATTTTAAAGTTGCTAGAAGTTAAAATTTCTTTTTCATACAAACAAAAAAAAGTTATTTTCAATAGCTCAAAATGATAATTCTATTACTGCGATTTCAAAAAACAATTTTATAAAGCTATGATGAAAGAAGATTATGTTTCACCAAGTCATATATAAGTTATAAGCTATTAAAAGAAATAACCAATGGATACGGAAAAACAATCCATCTTTCATTAGTCTTCTCTTCATCAAAGCTATCTGCTATTTCAGTCCATCAATTCTAAGCAAAAGAAATAAATGACATTATTCGTTAAAATCATTGATTTTTCTATCATATGCTGAGGTCAAGGTTAGGTTATTAGTGCAGTGTGAGTCAGATTCAGGTCACAATTGAGGTTTAATCTCAGTTATAAAACGTAAAAAAAAATACGTTAATGATTACACTAAAAATTCAAATCTTATTTTTTATCTACTTTACTTTTTATATATTTTTAATAAAAACACTACAAATAGATCAGACTTAATATTTGATTATAAGTAACGTTAAGTTTAAATTAAGTTTAAGAATATACTTTTACAACATTAAGTCTTCCTAACATCGATACAAATATCCTCTTTTTATTTAATTTCAAAGATCATTTCCGTCTTAAAATAAAATTCTTAATATTATTCCATTTCATTTCTCAAGTTTAAAAATGTATATTTTTATGAATCAAAGTTGAGTTGGTTCTTAAAATGAAAAAAATAATACATACAACTTGAAGAGCTCTGCAGAAGTGATAACAATATTCGTAGAGGAAAACTTTCGTAGCACTCTTAGAGCCACAACGATGACTAAAAATACTTTGAAGTTTTAGTTTAAAATTATATTTATGTATTTGCTTTGCACTTATAAAATATTTAATGTCAATAAAAGTATAAGAAACACTTATTATTTTGTCTTATTTTGTATTGTATAAGCTGTAAAAGTAATAAGTCGTTAGATATTACTCATGGAAATTATACATAATAGTTAGCTTATTAAAATTTGCTCAGTACGAAAACTTCATAATATATAAGTATACACCACTTCTCATTGGAGGTTTCGTTGGCATCCTTGAAGTTCTACTGTTACCTTCGACCTTTAGAGTTATACAACATGTTCTCTCAGCTTATAGCTATTAATATAATATAGAACTTCATCTAAATCGAGTCATACAAGCAGTTCTGGTTCGAGTAAAGAAATATGTTATAATAGTAATATATCCTTTTCTAAAGATACATATTTTCACTTATACATATATATAGAGTATAATAATTGATTTAATAGATGGTTATTTTATGTGATGAAGGGTTTCGTGAATTTTTTTATATAAGATGGCAGTGAAAGTGATAAAACACTTTTAAAACAATTGCGCTATTATATTACATAATGAGTACATTAATCCTCTACAACCTCATATACATATAACATTGAAAAGCTTTACTAAGTATAGTAAGTATAGTAAGTTATAGATCCAATATATTTTTTACAAGATTTAGTATACCTAATAAATCCACTGTGATAATTTAGTATGATGATGAAAAATCCAATGGTACAGACATATATTTATTCAATTTCATATTCTGAAACTTTATATGACTGACGCGTTATATAATTAATATAACCAACCCACCACCAACAAGTTTGCAACCGTGTCATTTAAAAATCCATTTTGAGAAATAAATATTTTAATACCGCCAAAAGAAATATATTTAAAATACAAAAATTACATTTTAGTGTGAGCTCACTACGTTGCTGTAACATAAATCCTAGTGCATATTCTAAAAGATTAAATTTTTTAATTATTTTCAGGAAAAGAAAATGAGTTTGCAGAATTGCACAAAACTGAAAATGGAAATAGAAAAACTACAAAATATGCTCTTTTTCCCTTTAAACTCCTTAATGAAGCAGCCTAAAACAAAAATAATATAAAGGTTAGGCATATATACATAGGCATATACTTATTTGGAAATAATTTATAGAAATCGATAACATATTATTTATAAAAAAACTTTGATTTATTCTCAAAGAGCAATTGGAGCAACCTTTCCAATTTGTATCTAAAAACTAGCTAAGAGCAAACAAGTGGAACCACATGAAAAACAAAAACTGTTTAATTGACCGTAAAAACTCCGGACTGGAAAAGGAAAGGCAATCTTAGTTTTAGATTCAGGGTCGCAAAAACATCTTCAAACGTATTGTAGAAGTATCCTAATCTTTTATTCATATGCGAAAAATGGTTACAGACGGACGAAAAGAATTCGTGCTACTACGTTCATGGTACAATTTTTTTTATCTTTCAAATGATACGTAGCTCTTCAATCAATACAAACAACTCAAAATACAAATTGGGTATATTAGACCAAAGCAAATATTATAAACGTTTCTTCACTAATAACACGTATTATAAACAATTTGCTTTGTATTCTTTGATTCATTTAACGTTTTCTTTACTTTGTATTTAAATGTAATGAAACCAGTATTTTGTTACATTTATACACATAATATTCTTGTAATATAGGTAACTATTATGGTAATTAAATACTTCACATCGAAACTGGTCGTCATGTACAAATAGAATAATAACTATTTTTATCGTATGAAGTATACAGCAGCAGTCATCAAGTTTGCTTACGACAATATTATTATCAATTTGGTATGTTAAACATCTTTCTTAAACGTAGTGTCATGTGAAATGTTAGTATGTGATGAAATTTTATTATAACTGTGCTTTTTATCGACAAGATAAGCGCTTCCCTCTCAAGATTGTTATCTTTATTTACGACTAAAACCCGAAGGCTACATTTAAGACGAGACAGCTAATCCGCGGAGTATCACATCGTACATAATTTATTTTGGGTATTATATTTTTTATATTTATACTGATGTTTGGGATAATACATAGTAACGTTAGGGGTGAGTTGAAAATATGTTCAGCTCTAAGGGTGCGGCACAGATATGGTACGAATAAAAGTATTATATACAAGATTATGTATAGCCCTACATAAAAAACATTATTACTGCATATGTATATATTTTTATTTTATTATAATAAATGAATACAAATAGTCTTTTTAACACCAAAATGTATATTTATATAAGCTCTTTACCTTGATAATTTTTATTGAATCGTCTAAAACGAAATAATTTGTACATGAGTGATTATATATATATTTAATTATTTTGTTACATATATATATTATATTTATGATATAGTTTTAACTGGACCAATCGTTATAATTCTTTAAATTAGTCGAATTAAATTGATAAAAAACATACAATTTATAAACAAAGTTCTGAGACTGCATTATTAAATTCTTCTTTTATATATTATTATTGGTATTTATTATTATAATAAAACATTTCTTATTTTTTTATTAGATTTTTTTGTATTAATCATTTAATTTATTATTATCGATTGTATGAATATTGATATTTATAAAAGGATATACAAAAAACTCGAATCAGATTAAACATCTCAAAAACTATCAAAAAGACAAATTTAAAGTTACTGTTAAATATTACGTATTTTTAAATTTGTATATTTTTTTGAAACAAACATATAAAGATATAAAATATCTGTTCCATGTTATTTAAGCAAGAATTAATTGGATTGTTTGTTGAACAACGAGTTAGAAATAGCTCGTGGCAATATAATGTCTCAAAGGCCAGGAAAGTTTGAAAGTGCTAGAATATGCCAGCAGCTAACATGCCGTGCCTTACATTACTTGTTTGTTTGAATGAACCTGTAATATAAAAGGAAAAACTTATCCTTTCATTTTCAATGTTTTTGTCAGTTAATATTCAATATTTTTATTTGTAGTGGTCAATGATTTTAACTATTATAAACATATTTTTATTTCACTAATAAGATAGATATTCATCATATAATGTAGAAGTAATTAAAATATATGTATTAGCTCCCCCGCTACTTATGTATCATAACTATGTTATCTTAATAAGTAATATTGTAATTTG